CCCGCCTCCACCTCGACGTTCTCCCCACACAGTGCTTACACCACGACAAAGTTCCAGCTTTGTTACCTCCATCCCATCTGGACTTATTGGACCGTTGATTGATGAAACTTTTGCACATCTTGCTCATTCGACATGTTCTTTGCCTTCAACAGCTTCGTCTCCGCCCGTTTCGATTCATCCTCCCCCTCCACTACCTCATCGTCTTCGTGACCCTGAATCGTTGGCCGTCAGTGAGCCCGAACTCAATAGTTCCTTAGGTCCAGCTAATCAATTGCGGCTTACTCTTTCGCGCCAATGCCCACATATAGACCCCCTTTCACTTTCTATCGTCAAGGCCTCTATTCGAGATTCGGTTGCTGGGCTTGAGATCGAGTCAGCTCGGATGGAGTCTTTACTACCACCTGTTTCACCAGCCCCTTCATTGCCTCCCCCAGAGTCGACACCTCCGCCGTTGCCTACATCTTTGCCATCCTCAGTTGCTCCCGTTTGTACTAGTTGCAGTGGATCATTGATAATACCTGAGTCGGATCAGAACGAACAGAAAATTTCTCCTTCGGTAATGCAGGTGGCCGGGCGAACAAAAGCTGTGCCTAGATCTGCTTCGGCTGTTGAATTGACAGTCAAGCTTAGGAAAGGTCCGTTACACCTTTTAAAGCCCTTAAGATGGTTCATTTTTATGTAAACTATATTTATGTGAATCCCAATTCCATCCTGCAACTGCACAGTCTTATTTTTAGAGCAATCAGCTTGCACTATGATAACGATAAAGCAAAGATGTCCATACTTTTTAAAATCCTTGTCTTTAGTCTTATTTGTTATTTTTACTTGTAATTTTCATTCGATGCAATAGGGCTCACCTTGCTTGATCAAAATCCCATCATCAAAATTAATGGGTATTGCTCCAAGAAGTGAAATGTCTTACTTTTAAGGTTACTGGCTAATGTTATTTTGATTTATGCATAATTTAGGATTACAGAAATAAAAGATAGAAAATAATGCCAATGAAATGTAGCATATAAATTCTTATCATCTAAAGGTTCATTTTATACTATTGGGTTACCGAGCGATACGAATGCTGTCTAGTTGGTTTCGGAAATTGTCTTATCCTTTATATTTTGCAACATCGTAATATAGCAAGGTTCAATATACCCTCGTGAACGTAAGTCTCGGGAATCGATTGGATTTATCCCCTGAATTATTGTTATTAACCATTTTTTAGGAAATCTTTTAACGTTTTATTTACTATTTCAGCTCTGTTGGTCAAATGATCAAGAAGGGACAAGCAAATTGTGATCCATTGGAATTGTCTAAATGTTGTTTAGAGCAAATTTATTTGCATTAACTTCTGTTATGCGTTTTTTTTAATTTTTGTTTAATAAAATCTGGAGTATAATTTCATACAACTCTGAGCTTTTTAGCAGCTAGATCTCAGGGACCTGAGCATAACAGGAGATGGCGACTTAGATACAAATGAGCGCCAATTGGCATAATTTTGTCTCAAGCTAGTCTCAGGATTCATGCTAGTGTCCACACTGAATTCTTATCAATGAATACTGTAATGGTCCTTACAAATTGTATTGCTAGAGTCTGTTATTTAAGCAGATTGTTTAATTGAAATTAGTTAGTTTCTTTTCTTCTAAGATCCCATCTAGGTTAGGATAAGTTATATTTTTCAGAACTGATAGTTTTTCTACAAGTAACTATTTGTCTGCATATAACCAATACGTCTTCTTATTTCATCTTCAGGTGCCAACGGATTAGGTTTCAGTCTGACCAGTTGGGAAGGGTCTGCCTCTAAGTCTCTTGGGGACACTTGTTACAGGGAGGTGAATCCTTCTAGGCAACACAGCACAAATCAAAACAACTATTCAAGTCAGCCTCATCACCAACATCCTCATCAGCATTATCATCACCATCCGATATATGTGAAAAGCATCTTGCCAGATGGAGCGGCTTTAATGGACGGGCAACTTCGACAGGGTGACAGATTGCTACAGGTAATTAAATTTTTCAAATGAATATACGCTCATTACGTTCAACAAAATCGAATTTTATACTGCTAAAATGCATAGGCAAGCCTTTCCATCTATTAATACTTGGCACATTTCAGCGATTTGCGCCTGCGAAGCTTAATTTTTAATTACGACGATTAGTATGGAAAACGGAAGAGCTCATGCTTCAATAGTAAATATCTTTATATTTATCGCTCTCTATTGCAATTTTTCTATATAATCAGATATTTATGTGAACAGCATCTGAATGCGGCACCTTGAAGTGCTTTGTAATTTTAGTTTTCTTTTCGTGAAATTCGGATAACGCATACTCTACTATTGTGGTACATCTATAATCAATTTTTATATTGTTTTACATCCATTTATTGTTTTCGCCTAAAGCCAGTTATCTCCTGAATTGTATTTACATCGTAACCAATATATCTTGATCCTATCAATCATTCAACTATTTGAATTCATAGTAATGGAAGCGTCAGCCTTCCAAAGCACAAAATAAGAATATTTTGAGTAAAAAGCGTGTTCTTATCCAAGCATTCTTCTTAAGCATCATTTTAGATAAGCAGGTCGAGTCATCCACTGACTTGATTTGGCCGAGATGGAGATGCCGTTCTTAATCACCATTAGTCATACTTTTATCCATGTAGTAATTTATCTGATTAGGCTCCCTTCTTTGCACGTAACTCTATCTATATTAAAAAAATTTTAGGGTGGCATTGTCAATTTATCGAAGTGGATTTTCTTATTCCTAAGCTAATCATTTGTTACCCTTGGGATCATAAAAACTGAAGAGTTACTTGGATTCTGGTGAATAAACAGATTTGCAAGTATAAAATTATTCTCATGCTTGTATATGTATCAAACAAATATTTTTAAATTAATGATCAGAATCTTATTCTAAAAGGTGAATATACTTTTAATTCTTTAGACTCCAAGAACTAGATTTAAAGGCAGATGACATGTCTGCTCCTTGCACCTCATATGATGGAAATATTAACTAAGTTTCCTAATAACATTTCACTACTGCTGCATTCTGCGATGATTCACCATACAATGGTAGTATTTTAAACCAGAGAAAGTATCCGTGAATGCAAAAAAAGAATGTATGTGTGTATGCAGCTAAGGTTTATTTAAAGTGTCTAGTCCGTCTGAATCTTCAAAGGAGGACAATATAATATGCGATAGATTTTTTTGTCAAAATTATTACGTTTGAAATATTAAAAAAAATATTGCTTATACTATTAATTGCTAATTGCAAAGAATTAATATCTTTGTATTCACGTTTTTTATATTGAATGATAATTGCCAGCACCCTACACCTCATCTCATTAAAATTTTCCTAGCTTTGCATCTCCTTATAAAGGATTAAATATAATAGCGCAAGTTTATGAATTTTTCGGGTCAAATGTTTTTTAATTATTTTTAATGAACATTCTGTATATATTTCTTGATAAAACTTATAATGTGAATAATATGTTTACCTTTCATCCCATTATACTGTTAAGGCTTTTGCGGATAGATCTATATCTAGATAACAGAATAAATAAGGCGGAAATAAAAGGAAAAAATAGGAATTCATATGTAATACTAGCTATTTACAATTCCTAGGTAAGTTGGCTTTATCAGATTTGCACTAATGCCTTTGTATTTGCCTTGAGCTTCCGCTATCCACTGGATCGACCAAGTCGTATCTCATTAGTTGAGGCTGTAAGCATCCTCTTTTTTGTTACCTGTTTTAGACTCCCATTCTCATCTGTTGAACTCTCATTACTCTCATTGGCTTCAGACGAATGAACAAATTTTTGTAATCTCTTCATAACTTAATGAGTAAACTTCTAATTTTGTTGAAGATGTGAAGACCAAGATGTTGTGGCCTCGGGTATGGTCGCAGTCTCCTTTCGACTTATAGA